GGAAAACAGAGAGGCTGCAAGCATCAATTCTTTTAGGGAATGTAAACAGGACAGAGAAAGTTAGCCTAAGCAGAGGAAACTGTATAGATGACTGACTCTGAGAGGGAGGGAAAAAAAAAAAAAAAAAAAGTGTTTTCTTTACTATGTCTTAAAAAAAGATCTAAGTCTTCAAAAATGTGCTTTTCAACCAATTAAAGCGATAAATTAAAATATCTGCAACTAAACTATTTGGGTAATATTGGGCTGTGGAGCTGCTAGAGAGAGCCCAGCGCAGGGCTACAAGGATGATCAGGGGCCTGGAACATCTGCCCTATGAGGAGAGGCTGAGGGAGCTGGGCCTGTTCAGCCTGGAGAAGAGAAGGCTGAGAGGGGACCTGATCAGTGTCTATAAGTACCTCAAGGGAGGCAGTGAGGAGGATGGTGCTGGCCTCTCTTCACTGGTGGCTACCGACAGAACTAGAGGTAATGGCCACAAACTGAAACACCAAAAGTTCCACAGGAACTTAAGGAAAAATTTCTTAACAGTGAGGGTGACAGAGCACTGGCTGCCCAGAGAGGTTGTGGAGGCTCCTTCTCTGGAGATCTTCCAAACCCGCTTGGATGCCACCCTGTGCCACGTGCTCTAGGTGACCCTGCGTGTGCAGGGGGGTTGGACTAGATGACCTCTAGAGGTCCCTTCCAAACTTGAGCATTCTATGATTCTATGTTCAGCAATACATGGATACGAAATCAGTGACATGAGTACACATAACACTTGAAACTTTTTTCACAATATATTTTTTAAACCTTAAGTACAGTGTACACAGGCATAGCTCTGTGTACTCACATGAGAACACAAATGCTGTGAACCACAACTTTTGGATTATTGTCAAAATAGGTAGCACAACTGGTCCATGATGCATAACTGATGAGACAACTTGTCTGACTTGACTATATACTCATAGCCTCAAGCAATTTTTGTTTGGGTTTTGTTTGTTTGTTTTTAATGTTCAGCTATTTGTAACCATTAATTTGAACAGTGCTTGTATTATAGATCCTGTGGGCAGAAGTATGAATCCTTAGACTTAAGCCACTACCCAAATACCGTTGGTGTTTATTCAGTACCTAGAACTTCATTCTGGCCACAACTAAGGGATTGCAGATATTAAACAAAACATTGCTCGTTACAATAAAAATAAGCAACATTAATAAGAGATATTGATCAGAATCAGACACAGGTAAGTCTCTAAGCTGGTTCAGTCCACTCTGAACATTAGTGTATTGATATTACTCTTAGTTTTGAGTTGCATTTTTGCAAATCTGCTACATAAGGCAATTTTTATGTTGAAAGAATGAGTTGATTCTATGTAAACTACTGGACTTCAGTATCAGAATAATCAGTAACTTGGAAACATAAGTTGGAGGAAAACCACCACAATTTTCAATGATCCTTCAACTAGATTAGATATAATAATGACTATGGACTGCTCATGAGACCTTATTTTGCCATTGCAAAAGTGTTGCCTAGTGATTGCATAAACGCTATCTTGGCACTAAAATATATTTAATGGCAACAGGTATACACTTACATCAGGATTTGAGTGTTGGAAAATTATAGAACTTGTAATGCATATTTATAAAAAACATTTTAGATTGCCCATCTCTTCTTGTTTATGAATCGCCCATGCAAATGAAAAAATTCCAAGTTGTGTGTGTATATTCCCTTCGTGAATAAAATCTTGCTATACTAAGTGCCTAATGTTAAAATAATTCCAGAATCAAATCCCCATCTTACAAGTCTGAAAAATTCAGCTGCTGCTGCTTATGTATAAAGCTTAATCAAGTTTAACAGGATTAAAACATTAAGTATAACTGGCAATTTTGTTTTTGTCTGCACTTCATTTTGCAGTGCAATGTGTTAGACTATATCAGTAAACTGCTGACTTAAGACAATATTTGTGAAATATGCTACATAATTTGATGGACTTCAATGATTAAAGATAAACATTTGAACAAGAAGCTGAAAGCTATATTATACAAGTCAAAACCTTAATCTTTCAGTATTAGCTGAGTAGCAAACACTGCTGTTTCTGTCTGCTTATTTATGCAGCAAGTTTCCTTAGGACAGAAACAGCAGTTCCTAAGGAAACTTACTGCATAAGTAGTAAAGATTTCTGCATGGACATCTATTTAAATTAAAAAAAAATGGGGGAAGTTTCTTACTTGAAGCAAACTCTTCAGAATTGTTTAGACAAAACTATTGAGATTATTATAAATAATACATTGTAGATGGTGGGATTCATACACTGCATTTCTTCAACATAAAGGCTTACCAAAATATAGACTTTTCCATCATTCCCTTTTATGCTGAACCTAAACGTGCTTTTAGCAGAGGAAATCTCCACAAGACACTGAGCTATCATGCTCTGTATGAACTGAGACCTGTGGAAGAATAGAAAATATATTGGCAAAGTCAACTATACTGATCAAGAGTAAGTAGCCAAGCAAACCATTATGAAAATAACTAACGTGGTGGAAATGACATTAAGATAGAGCTTTCATCATCTTTGTCTGCCCCAAACCAGAGCACTTTGCTGATCTATTAAAAGTTACAGCTACAGGAAAAAAAAAATCTAAACTGCCCCCAAGCCCTTATTTTGATGGACACCAACTGTCAAAAGCAGAAAAACAGCTTTTGTCTGTTGTACTTTAGGTACATGAACACAACAAGGTTCAGAACAATGACACACTATCTCAAATAAAATTTGAGAAAGTAAAGAACTTTAATGCATAGTACATAATTCAAGACAGCTAGAAGCAGCTGTGAGAGCTCAGTCACAATTTCAGATTACTTGAAAATTCAAAAACCCTCTCCCAATTAACAGTTTCAAGCTTCACTTAGGTAATGTAACCTTCCACTTGCATAATTAGTCACCAGAAGTCATCAAAAATTGAATAATTCAAAATAACTATTTTGTCTTCTTATCTGAATACTAAGAATCTTTGCAACAACTGTTGTGATCTTCCTGCGCCTTTTATCCACATACACAAGCAAAAGAAGTTGTACGAGAGTGAATTCAGATTGTATTTACAATTCATAAATTTGTGATAACCAAATAGAATTTAATAAAATTATATTACACTTAATTATTCAGAAATATTTTTGAAATATTTTAGCATCCTTCTGAAATCCAAGTCTGAATAAACTTTTTTTTTTTTTTTTTTTTTACCTTGGTATTGTGCTGAAGCTTTCCTCAGATGGTTGAATCACTACCTCAGTGACATAATACTTAGTGGTCTCTAAAATGACACAAATGTTAGATCTTTAAAGTACAGCAAAAATAAACAAGCAAAAAAAAACCCAGACTTTTCAGAGTAGACTAAGTCACTGTATCACCATACTAATTAAACTTTTGCTCAGCACTCAGAGATGCAGCAGATGGTCAAGTTCCTGTTTTGGTTTGTGGGAAGAGATGCAGGGCAACTGTTAACAGAAAGCATTCACTGCCAAAGGAAGACTGCTCTGAGCATCAGATCATATCATCAAGAGTTTGTCATTTCTATTGATCCTTGTTTAATGCTAGGAACAGTCATCTTGAAACAAAGAACCAAAGCATTTGGACTGAAACACTTCATGCATTAAAATGTTTGCTAGTGCCAATTAACTCTTCCCCATTATGTGTTACTGTTGAACCAAACTTGAAAGACATATTGAAAGAACTTTCCTGAAGGACTGAAATCAGCACAGCTTATGTAAGTATTTTAGCAACCTGCTCAGTAATTCTGCTGTGAATCACAAGACAGTTTTAACAGCAGCAGACTGGACTAATTTTCCTCTTTGCTCAAAGAGCAGAAGGGAATTTCCTCTCTAAAAACTGCACTAAGTAAACACTAATACACAAAGCTTACACTCCAAGTTTCAACGTAAATGTTCTGAAAAAGCTCCACTGAAGACAGCCTTTAAGAACTAGAGTGTAAATGCTTGAGTTCAGAACTTAATCTTTATCAATAAATTCCAGTCAAAAAATCATGAAGCTCTGAGTCTCTGCTACAAATACAGCCTAATCAGAAAGTAAGCAGTACAAAAATACTAATTAAGTATATAGAGTAATAAATCCCCCTAAGCCTTAACACACAGACAACAGATTTTTTTCCTAAACTTTAAGGGTTGAAGGGATTGCCTCATCTGAAATCTGTCCACACAAAAAGTAGATGAAAGCAAGCTTTTCAGGAAGAGACCTAATACTGTTCTAAAGACTCTAAAGGTCTGGCAAATTCACCCACTCGACAGTCAAATATTTCACTTTTTAATTATCCTCACTGCTAGGAAATTATGTTTCACATTAAAGTTTAATTTTAGTCTGCTCCATGCTGCGCTAATCCTAGGAGCAAGGAGGAAAAACAGCAGCAGCTCGTTCACTCATGCTAGCTCTCCAGCTGTTACCTTAAGGAATTAGTGGTGCTACTGCAAAGGCATCAGGAATTGAGAAAGATGAATTACTTGCAAAGGGATAGAAGGTGAGATTTCGTACACACAAAACACTCAACTGTGAACATATGGAGACAGAGGTAAGGAATGACTAGCCTACAAGGGAGGTCTCCACACCAAACCTGGTCTCCATGGCTACACCACTGAGATCCAACTTACCTGCTGGGCACTGATATTTTTGCTTATAAGAAACTACCAAAGTATTTCAGTCAAGTATGCTCGCTAGTGTTTTCATAGTGTTTTTCTGTCAAAACTCACATCATGTGTTTCTGTAACATTTGTGGTGTTCTTTCACCTTTCCCTCATGGTCCTACACTAGCAATGAAACATGGTTACAAAACCTGGACATGTGATCTAACTTTAGCTATGTACAGAGTCTAGATCAAATCCCTGTTTCTACACAGGACTTCCCTTTTCCTATATCCAGTGATCACATCAACTGCTCTTGTTATGACTGTGTAAAGCTTTAGCCTAAAACATGCATTCATGATGACGGGTAAAGCTCTTTTTTAGATACTGTCTTCCAGACACTTTACAACTTACCTGGTGGACTTTTCAAAAGACTTACTTTAAATCTGGTTTTACTAAAGGTTGTATAGCTCAAACCCTTTTGCAAGAAAAATCAAAATCCTCTCTAGCTGTCTTCTGCCTCCCCATGATTTCTTAAACAGACTTTGAATTTTCTGTAAGCATTTTGTATTCTCCAAATGTAAATTGAATTAGATCTCACACTGATGCAGTGCAGTAGAGGAAAAATGACAGCTAGTAAGTATTATTACTGATACTTGCCAACTAATAACTACATTTTGAAAACTATCAGTCTTACCTCTAAGACATTCTAATTCAATCTGACAGCTTTTAAAACAATAATCTCAATCTCATGACTGAATGAATGACAGAGAAATTTCTTTCATCAAAGGAGATACTTTACACAAAACCTGGTTCCCAGCTAATAGGTGTCTTTAGCTTCTCATTCTTTGTTTATCAAGCCTCTTTTACCCCTTCCATTATTCTATAGGACTGACACCATGGTAAATTAGCTGTAATTTCTGATCAAATTGTATGGGAATGCTGAATAAATTAGAATTACGCAGTTGAATTTCCAAAGCTCTGGAAATCATAGCCAAGCACGCCACAGAAACAAGAATGAAGGAAGATCCTGCAGCAAATCACGTAAGTTCTTACAATGCAAACAATCTCATCCATTCCAGAAGGGAATGAGACAAATACATAGAAATTGACTCTATATCTTACTCAAATTATTTTCCTACAGAGTATTTTGCCTCCAGTGCTCAGTGGTTGAGAGAGTCAAGTCTAGTATGTAAATCCCATACCTGATGATACTGTTTCTCCCAGGACTGTCTTGCAGTGCTTACAAATTACTCTGGTATTTTCCTTTGATTTCTGTAGGACAGAGAAATGCCATTTAAATGTCGCTCAGATGCTCTGAACAAGGAATGTACAATTTTAACACAATCTCCAGAGCATATATTGAACTTTGTACTTTGTTCAGATATACAGATATTTACACTGACTATTTAAGCCCTTTATACTTCTCACTCAATTGCAAGTTTCATCTTAGTTTTGAAGTCTGCCAGTACATACTGAGCATGCAGCAAAATCTGTAAGAGGTAATAGGAGAATCTCAAGACACTGGGTGATAAAACGGCAGAAGAAAATCAATTTTGATAAATGCTAAATAATACACATAAGAAATTCTTATTCTTATATTCAAATTATTATACTGTAATGCAACTGCCCTCACTCAGTTCTAGTCACTGTGAAAAGGTTTTAAAAATAACAGATCAGCAGAGAGCAGAAAATGTCCACAGAATATTTAGAACTACTAGGAAAGGACTAAAGAACACAACATACTACAATACTCTAGAAAGACATAGTGGCTCTGTCCCCCTACTTTATTCATTTAAACAGAAACAAAAAAAAGAAAAAAAAACAACCTACAGACAAAGAACAATTTTTGTGGAAAAACTAAACATAAAAGAAAAAAGCTTAAAATACAAAAAAAGGGATGGTGTATCACCAAGATATACACAACCACAGATGTTAAGGAAAAGCTGGGAAAAGAACAGTGAAGAAATGTTCTTAAAGTTAAGATTTTGACTGCATTAATTGTAATCAAGCAAAAGGCAGGATGTTTTCACACAATGCATAGTGTAACTCGGTACTTGCTGCAGGAGAGTACAGTTCATACAGAAAGCATGAAAAGACTTACTAGCTTACCAAAGGCTTACTAAATAAAATAAAAAACCACACCATTCTGGTTCAACAAGTGTCTATACTAGGAGAAACATCACTCAATTTATACCTTACTATATATCTTCCATCTCTTACTGCCCTCTTAAAGAGGTTTTAATTTGAGGCTAGGTGAACTGTGATCTGACCTAACAAAAGACATGAACTCCAGTACTCAGATTTAAATTCAGTATTAGCATAAAGATACAAGTAAGTACAACTCTTACTTTAATCCAAAGCATAACTCCAGAATGGTGTTATGGAATTACTATATGCAGAACTGCTAGCCTGGATTAGCACATTACAGTTACTGTAGCTACATCACAGGTGCAGCTCTGGTAGCAGTATGCTTATACAAACGCATGGAGGCTCCAAGTTCGCAAACCTTTCTTGAGATGGAAATCCTGGAAATGTACTAAGACACCTAAATTAGATTTTAGTTTGTTATCTTCACATAATCATCTTTGTACCCCAAGTGAACGATTTCAATGTATAACGTTATCCAAACGTAGTCATAAAATCTTGACAAGTTTTACAAAAATCAAAGCAAGTCACTACCAAATCATAATGCAACACATCCCCACAAAAGCAGCATCTAAATTTGGCATAAATTAGACTCATTTGGGAGGATAATTTTTTTGCATCTGCCTCTAACTGTAACCTTTGTAAAAGGTGGCCACTGTTCCCACTGAGTCTAACTGAAGCCAATAGACGCACGCTTCCCGGGGAGCACAGACTCTGTTCATCCCAGCCATCTCACAGCTCAGTGTCCAAGTTTCAAAATAATGAGAAACGACTATGGCTGATGTCCAGAACAGTAAATAGTGCCCCTATCCCTTGCTATGCCACCAGAAATCACAGTTAAAGCCATTTTAAAGGCATTTTTGAGCTGCATGATTAAATGCAACAGTCTTACCTATGCCAGATATCATAAAACTTACTTTGTTAGATGAAAAGTATATCTCTATATATCAGATGTTGTCTTCAGAACATGTGATCACGGACTTTCAGATCACACAGATGTCCAAGCACAGTTACACTTGTCAATGTCAAGTAATGCATTCTAATTTGGTCCATTCTAATTTGTGGGCCTTGAAGGATGCACAGCCTGTGCAGCCTTTCCTGATGAAAGGGTGTATAGCCAAGGCAAATACACAGCTTTGGCCCGTGTTCAGTTACTCTACAGAGAAGTCCAAGTAGTTACTGCCATAATGATAGAGGAGCGGTAAACAATGCAGTCAGATGAGTCATACGCCCAGGTCGCAATCAGAGGCAATGGAGGCTTAGTCTAACCGCATGCACTACAATATAGCCAAATGCCAGATCATATATTCAGGAACAAAAGCAATAGCCAGTCATGACAAAATATAGGAATTTATTGTGGAAAACAGGAAGAGTGAAGAGAATTGAGATGCTGGCAGCTATCTAAAGAGGAATTACTAATAAGAACCTATAGAATGAAATACAATTTCTGAACTCACTAACTGAATAATAGGCAAGGATAAACACAGAGTATGATTTTTGCATTCAGAATTAGTGAGATGATTCCTGCAAAATTGTACTTTTAAAGGAAAGTTTGTAAAGAGACTGAAAAAAGTGCGGAGAAAATACACCTTAGAGAAGAAAAGTGATACAGAATTGCAATTCTTATTTTTTTAATCTAGTAAGGAGACAAAGATTCTCTGTTCAGATCCCAGGTGAATTCTTTAAGCTATCAAAAAGTGCTGTAACAATATCCAACTGATGAATTCCAGGATGAATCAAACTCTGCCTGGAAGACGAACAATTTTTAAGGGTCAGGATGATTTACCCCTGGAACAGCTTACCAAGGAATGTAGTAAAGTTTCCATCACTTGAAGTATTAAATCAATACTGGACATCTTTCTAAGAGACATGCTATAGCTCAAACAGAAATAAGGGATTTAAGGCTGGAAATACCTAACAGTTTTCTGATGTGTACTATGCAAGTAATATAATGAACAGCAGGAAGCAGTCTAGCTCCCAAAAACAAAAAGAACTTTGGATCGGAAAGCCCCTTCTCCCAAGTTAGACAGCTAGTGGTGGCATGTTTTCGCTCTTCACAAAAGGAGGATCATGAACTAAAAGCTCCAGGGAAGGCCATACAACCCTCTTCTAAAATTTCAGAACCTGACTAACTAAGCTGAAAGTACAGTCCCCTTCTTTTGTAGAAGGGAACATGAAGAAAAACAGCCGTTTTACATATACACAGTTGCCTCGTTTCACAGCACCCAGCCTGCTATATAGATATATACAGAAAAGCTATTTGCTTAGTGTGAAGAGCAAGGATATGGAGACTGGTCTTTGTGATTTGAGACCAGTACAAATGCCACACAGCAGAACGACACAAGCGCTACTTCGAAACCTACTACTTGAATGTTCATTTCTGATGACAGTTACAGGTTCTGGCTGGAAATTGTGCAGTATTGTACATAAAAACCACTGCAAGCTCATTGGATCATGAGTTCAATAGAAAAGAGGATGTTTTAGCTAGACTAATTAAAATCAATATATCTGACAACTTGCAGCTGCTGGCAAGCTGCAGATGGAAGGGGATCACCTACCTAGAAGGTTACTGTTTCTACTCCTAAGATCCCTCATATGGTGTCACGGAAAATATTTTCCCCAAGAGATACTATTAGGATGTTGGAAGACCATGTGACATTTAAAAACTATGTTACACTGGAAGACTAATAGATATGAGAAATAAGTTTGCAGCAGAAGGATGCTGTCTAGGTCTCATGGGAGGTTGGAAAAGTTCTGGTCATAGGCAAACACTTTTCAAAGGACTGAGAAGACAATTAAAAATGAACTTTCATACTGGGGCAGACTGCAAGAATATTCTCTAAAATAAGAACATTTATGCCAATAGCAATCTATCTTGCCTATAACTTATTATTTTCATATTATAGAAGAATCTTATTTCACTATACGGGTTTTCTTCTTATTAGACCAGTTTCTGCTTAACCTTACAGTTTTCCTCACTTGCCTGGCAATTGAGTCATGCTGGAAATACACAAACACAGACATTAAAATTCAGTGAAAGATGCAAGAAAGGATCTGGCACAAATAAGGAAAGAAACTTCAACTTCAAGGCAAGTTTAAGAAAGGAAATGTGAAAATTCACCATATTAAAGCACTACTGTGAGCTTCTTGCAGAGAACAGCTTCCTCATTCGGAGATTCTATTGTTATCCTGGCTTGACCCACATCTCAGTAACATCTTTTTATCAAGTTTCTGCCTCAAAAACAACCCTTCTTGTCAGACAAATATTCTGACTGATTTACTGTGTTGGACAGATCACTCCCCTCTTTGTATTGCAATTTGAATTTCATACACTATGCCTTTTTCCATCTTTATTGCCATTGTTTCATGATCTCACATTCTGATTCTTACAACTTCTACAGCTTAAAAGAGGAGAAAAATACTAAAAAGATGCTCCTCCTTTTGATCATATTTATGGTTACCTATCCATTCATACTTTGAAAAAGCATTGTTACCCTATTTTCCTTTGCTGTCAGTTCCATTACCCTTTGATAAACACCTTATCCATAGCGCTTACCATTTTAATGTCATCTTTCATGACTATTTTTGTAGGAGGAAACATCTAGTTTTAGAACTGCATCACTAAGTGATTTGTACAGTTTATAGGAAGAGGTTCTTCCTTCATTGCTAGGTCGGTATCAAGACCATGACGTATTCTTTAGAAAATGTAAACCATAGTTTAGAAAATTTTCTGGCTTCTATGCTACCGAAGGCAGACACTGTCAACAATTCTATACGACCTTTAAAACACCCCTGCAACACATGCAAGTTAAATAAGCCAGTGGCAAAGAAATGTTTTATACAGGAGGAAACAAAAAAAGATGTATATATATATATTCATTTGAGAATTATTGGAACAAAATACTTCACCAAGGTGGAGCTGCTCTGAGAAGTGTGATGTCCGTTCTCTGAAGGAGACTCTGGCACATGTGACTCGTTTCCTGAATTTAACAGGAAAAAGGTGTCTCCAAGAAAACAGTCATCTTTCCGAGGCTGCAACACACTTCTGGCAAAGGGGTTAGGGTGGCAACACCATTCTTCAACTAAAGCACTCCAATTTTCACTTGGTAGAGGAAGAACTCTGAGAAATTTCCTAAAAGGAAAGATGAAAGAAAGTCCTCAATATATCACATGCTTTTCTTATACACTAAGAGAAGGCCCAGATGTCTTGCACACACATTTTCTAAAAAGAAGCATCTGACTTGGTGAAATGGGTGACAAAGACTGCCTACTTACACTTAAGCCATTCCTGACACATTGCTACATATTCCTCTCATATTTCCCTAATCTATTCTTAGATGCCTACAATGGTAGAGATTCCATAGCCCTCCTAAACAATCTCCAACAGTTAAAAAGAGTATCAAAATAAATTTGATTTCATTTTTAAGCAAAATTCTTGCTGGGATAGAAGACCACTACTCCATCTCTGCAGCAACTTTTCACATATTGAAAGACCTGGTTTCTCTACATTGTCTTCGTTACAATAAACAAGACTTGTTTCAATCTTTTCCTCGAAGTTCTTACTTTCTAGCTCTTGTGTTGTTCTTACTACAGTTCCCCTCCAAGTAATTCACACCAAGCTTTCCTCACACATTAGACAGCTTCTCCTCTATTGCACCGCCCATGGTGTCACAGCATAATCATTATCTCTAGGATACTACCCATGGACCAAAACAAGAAACTTTTGTTTCTAAGAGGGCCAGCTGTCTTTCAACAACACCCAGTGATGAAATGGAAGGTGCTGGGTACACTGGCAGTTCCAATCTTCTATCCTTACCTCACCAAATATTATTATTTCTTTTTAGTGTTAAGACCCAAAAGGTTCAGAGATTCCCTGCAAGGAGAAATACCTAGTAAGCCATTAACATGCTTTCTTTTTTTCATTTCACATAAGTCCCAACTGTGTCACACTGTAGACTGCAGAACCAAAAGATGAAGCCTCTGTGCATGTGAACTGCTGCACTGAAATTTAATAAAACATCTGCTCAGAGAACTGTAAATTCAAAAGGTCCAGTACCTTTCAAAAATTATTCACTAGAACTTTTCATTATTCCACAGATATATCAAAATAAAACAAGAGTTACTGCAGGTCATCCTGATGAGACATTTCAGAACAGATTGCTAGCAAATCATCATTCATGGTCAAGCAAATTGTAAGTCCCTAAGGATTCCAAGAAAGTAACAGAAGTTTGAAGACTGTGCAATGTTGGTATCTACCACATTGGATATTAGCAGTGATACAGATCAGAAAAGGCTACAAGCCTGTCTCTAAAGTTGTATATACCCAGCTGAAGCAGTCAAGAACTCTCATCACAAGAGCTAAGAAATGCAGCAGTTTTGTTGTAAAGTTCTCATGCAATCTGTAAACTCAGTGAGGAATGGAGATAAGGCTGAGTCATCCAGTTAAGATATACTTCCCAAATCCAGTATCCCTGAACTGTCTAGAAGTTGGCTTTGCTTAACAGATAAAATGGAAACGTTGCCAACATCCTCTTCCTGACCAGCCACTCTGCAACTACAGAGAAGAGGAGATGCTCACTGAGGAGAAGTTATGGGCTGCTGAGGAGATGTGACAAAGATCCCTAAACGGCAAAGGAATAAAGAAGTTCAGGGTCAAAGTTTCAGTTTTATCCCCTTCAATATAACAAAGGTTATGTTAAAGATACTAATAAACTACAAGTCTTTTTAACATCATAAAATTCCCAGTCTCTGACTTCTGCACTTTATTTGCGATATTTCCAGTCCAAAATACTACAGCTTTCTTTAAGCAGCAAAAGGAGAAGCTAATAATCAGTGCAAAAAGTTGCCATGTGAATGAAAAACTACAGATTGTAAGGCAGAAATCAGCAAGAGATACATCATATTCATTCTGGACTAGATGACCTCTAGAGGTCCCTTCCAACCTTAAGCATTCCACTTTACACATCACAGAAAACATAGCCACAAAAGGAAATGCCTCCTTTATGACAAAAGAAAAAAAAATCAGGAGAAAAGAAGTAAATCTAGATTTCCCAACTTGCAGATCAATGTTGTAATGATTGTACCTAACACTCTGTAAGATACTTTCCAGCTGGAATGACATCAAGTAGTAGATGAGTAAATACTGAAAAGCTGTTTCAAGTAGTTTTGATTTTCGTCATCTGTGTACTTTAAAAGTGTTCCCATTTGCTTTTTTTTTAAATAAATGTTTTAGTTTTCTAAGTACACAAAATAATATGAAGAGCAATTACCATGGCTCTTATTGCTACATATACAAGACACTGCAGTACTTACCCTTCTTGCCTTATGACGTCCCCACAGGATTGGCAATAAAAGCTGTAACACTTTCGGGGTTTCAGGCTTTCACTCAAGGTGGAAACCAATTCTACAGAACAGAGAGAACCTATTAAACTTGGCACTTTGCAAAATATTTTCCTATTTTAACATAAAAATCCTTTCAACCACCCCAAACCACAAAAGAACCTAACAACCAAAGCAGAATTCCTAAGTATTACATGTATTTATTTGTAGGAACAAGCAATTACATTCAGGAAGAGCTTGCCACTTCCATTCTCAGGTCCAGCATTGCTGAACTGTGTATGTGAATAATCACTTTAACACTGCAGCCCACTCAATTGAAGTCATGGCAAGGCAGTCTAAACTGAAATTCAACATTAATCTTTTGTAATGATAGTTCTGCTAATAATAACCTCTGCGCTACTATGTCCAGTATAAAATAGACTCCGAATACATAGGGAAAGGGGGAAAAGGTGGTGGGGGGGGGGGGCTCTTTTCAGCCAGGTAAGAAAGCCACGGCCATGCCACTGAAGCTAAAGAAAGCAAACACTACCCTCTACAGGCCAAAAATGAAAATCTCTCAAAAGGCAGCTTTTTTTTCCAAGACTTTTTTTTTCCCTCCTCAATTAAAAAAAGGGATTGGGGAAAGCTCTACAAAGAACTGCGTATTATTAGATACAAGAAAAATAGAACTGTCAGCCTAACTCTATATAGAAGCAGGTTTGGCATTGTCCACTTCCTGAAACATAAGAATAGTAGATTTTCAGCACAGGCTTTCTGAATTAATAACTAGGTGGCACTCACAAATTACAAATATTTTAAAAGGTCCCAGAATATAAAAGAGAACTATTTTTTCATATTAACATAAAATATTAAATGGCAACATAAAAGGATATCCAATGCTAAGGGTACAGTAAACATGAAAGAGAAAAGGAAAAAATAGCTTGAAGTCCTATGGAAAAGCACAGGAGGGCATCAAAAACAGTTCTCAAACTCCTGCACAAAATGCTTTCATTCAGCTATGGCATCTTTCTTTTTTGCCACTCTCACCTATGCTTGTTAAAACAGATGACTGCTGGATTTGATTAGAAGAAGCACAAATTAGCCCCCAGTTAAGTTGCCTGCTCAGAGCTAGAGAGCCCTTCAGAAAGAGAAAGGCTATATGGAATTCATGGTGTGCATTAAGCATCTTTTTTTTTTTTTTTAACTGCAGAATGTAAATTTTACAGTCTCTCTTTACACAATAGTTAGAATACTGATATTTCACAGCTCCCTAATCAAAATAGCTTTTTTTTTTTTTTTTTTTTTTTTTTAAAGAAACAGAGCAGACTTTCTTTGCCTCAGAGGAGTTTACCGGATAGTGTTAGACCAACACACAACCCCAGTGCCCACTCCAGCCTTACTGGCACTGGAGCCCACGTGCACCTGCAGCCTGAGGTGCAGCCCCTCGCCAGGAAGGTAGCGCAGCCCGCGGCAGGAGGATGGGGCAGCCCTTATCCCCGCCGGGAGCATCACCGTTGTGCAGGCCTCTCCACACCGCACTTCTAGGGAGGTTGGCGTTATCAAAATATCCACTGGAGAGTTCCTGAGGTTTGCTTCCCTGGAAAGACATGGATAGAGATTTGCTTCAGAGGGGAACTGACACCAAGAGCTGTTATACCACACCTGTAGCATTAGCTTAGCCATACAGACCAAAAATCACATGGAATAGCTTTAAGATATATCAGTTGGATAGCAGCTCACACAGCACTGTGCTGAAGTAAAGAGCAGAGATACAAGCATATATTTAAAATAAGTTTCAATTAATCATTCACAAGAAATGGGTACTGGCATCCAAATACGTACACATTTCCTGCATACATTAGATTACACAATTCCTTTATTCCTTCAGTTCATTCCATCTCTCACTCACATATTTCCAAAAGCAGCAGCTTTGGCGTTGATACTTTTGGGGGTACAGGGGGGAGGAGCGGGAAGCCTATTTATTGCTGGGGGCAACCTCAAACAACCGCGTTTCCCACTAACGCCACGAGGTAAACGCGCCACCCGGGATCGAGACCGTGCAGCCGTTGCCAGGCCCGCTCCGGCGTGGGGAAGGGGGGCACCGAGGGAAACCACCCGCTTTCCCAGCCCAGCTCAGAGGGTCGCGGCGGAGGCGGGGAGGCAGCGCCGCGGCAATACCCGATAACCAGCAAGGCGCCCTGCGTCCTCCGCCGGATCTCCAGCAGCAGCGCAGCCGCCATACCGCGCCGCGCCGCCTTAAACGGCCCCAACGGCCCGCGCGCGGCAACGGAAACGCCCCCAACGGCGGCGGCGCGTCTCGGGAAACGCCCCCAACGGCGGCCGCACCGCCTCGCGTGCCCGCCCTGGGAAGTCGCAACATTTAATTCTTTCGTGCTTGCAGAGTTACCTGGTAGTGTCACCTGCAAAGCTTCAAACAGGCAAATCTGCACTAATTCCTAATCAGTAATTAAGGAGCAATTTATTATCTGAGGTGCGAGTGTTATCATCTTGGTCTCTTGAAGTGATTTTATTCCTTTGAGTTAGCCATACTGAGGTAGAACTCTTCTTAGAAGAGCCTTGAAGAAGTTGGTAAATACAGATGTTTTTGTAGGAAGAACACGGCAAAAAACAGCTAGCTAAATTTGCAGCCTGGTGTTTCTTTAATTATAATAGTGCACAAATTTGTTCAAATACGGTAAGATGCTGACTATTCTAAGTGTCTGTTACACCTTGCAGCCATTATTGGGGCAAGGGAGAGAGTTTGCTTAAAAAAACAAAACAAAACAAACAAAAAAAAAAACAGTCCATGTAATGGCTCTCATTTCCACCTACTTCCCAGGCCCAAGTAGCTGTGAGAAGTTACTGTATTCCGAGTAAGCAGATCACACAAACTCCAAAAACACACCGGACTATTCCTGGGAGAACCTGCTCCCAGTGTTTGAGAAGTCAAGGCCTGAAGCCGTTTCACTAAGGCTCGCAGTACAAAGGTTCTTTGGGTCCTTTGTACCATTTCCGGTTCATATTTTCAAACTTTTCACCAAAATGAAGACTAGCTGCTAATCTTGTATGTAATGAAAAAGGAGATGCTCAGAAGATCCAGGGATGCCTTTCAAGGCAAAAATTTCAAGCAAAATCAGCCAAACTGCATAAATTCATAAAACTGGGGGCCACAAAAATCAAGCTTGTGTAAAGCTCCGGAGAATTTTTGAGGACACCTCGGAAGCCACACACGCCTGGAAATCAGTTAACGCAATTCCACGACAGGAGGCTGCAGGTCTGCTCACAGGCAGCTCGGGATTCTTGGAAAGATCACACTGGTTTATGGAGACGTCCCCTTGGCAATACTTTAAGAACCACCTTCCAACTAAGCCTGGAAGATTTCTCACGGAAGCCGCTTGCCTGTGTTAGCATTTACTCAAGTCGTTTATAATCAGAAGTAATTTATAATCAGACTAGAAAGGCTGCTTAAATTTGAGGACCGGAAGGATGACTTTGAAGGTAACAGTGCAGTGCAAGATGTGCCCTCCCAACCCCAAAGAGCTGGTAAGACATGAAGGAAATCGCTCCTGTGGGAAAAAAAACTCCTTGTGGGGCTGCCCATGGGGGCCATCTGTGCAATGAAGGCTCAGAATACTTATTATAGGAAAGGTGAAGAATAAGAAGAAACAACCCCAAACTGTCAGTAACGTCAATTAACTGTCACTAACTGTCAATCAAGCGGCCGAGCGGCTCCCCCGCCCCTC